ATATGGTTTTTCTTTGTTTTTTGTTTGTTTAGCTTAGAAAGCCAAAATACAACAGGTCACAATTTGAACCACTCTGTGAACTTTGCAACACTTGTTTGTGAGCTATTATTGTTTGTGCCTTAACTATAAAATTTGATAGGAGTAATTTCAATTGTTTTGAAGAACCGACTGAGACTTTTCTTTGCCTGGCTCAAAAAATGGAAGCAGTGATCCGGATGGCCAGTCCATCAGGTGGGACAGCCTGGCCTGTTTTACTGTTTCAAGGGCGTGACTGGACAGCCTGGCCTGTTTTTTTGCATGTCTAAATTTCAGGCTTGATATGTGGATGTCTCTCAAGCAGTTGATTCCGATTGTGAGTGAGATGTCATGTGAGAATGAATATATGACATATGACATTTGTGCTTCTTATACATTACTTCGGACTTGTGACATTCATGTTGTAAGTCGAGATTCTTGATTGAGCGCTGATTGACTGGTGACTACCACTGACTGAGCTGACTCTGTCTGTTTGTCTGTTTGAGCAACCTTTGATTTGACTCAAGTCGAGTGTGTCTTTTGTGTCTTACTCGTCAATCTTTGGAGCCATGAACCCTTATGGCCTGGGACCTCGACCTCTGAGCATCCCTGCTCTCCCACCTGATGCTCTTGAAGGGTCTGTGACTGTGCTGAGCATGTCTCCTCATGAAGCGTCCATGGTAGATCCACTGGATGATGCGATTGAGTTTTTTGAGCAGATTGCGCAAAAGCAGATCAGTGAAGTGAGATCTGGTGGGCCTGGGGATATAGATGGCACAATGGAGCGCCGGCTTCAAAAAGACTTACTTGGCCTGATACTTACCTGTGTGTTTTTGTAGATTCTACTGTGGCTTGTGAGCTGATTGTTTTGCTACAATGGCATGACACATGACACACGACAAAGTAAGCACCATGTAAACATGAGAAATGTCAGTGCGCCACATGGAAACATACATGGACAACAATTGAAACACTGACTTCTTGCACTACGTCACATTGATTTGCACTGTACTGGCTTGCACGCCTCACCTTTCCAAACCTGAACATATTGCTATACCGTACCTTTCAATTGAGGCTGACGCAGCTTTCGTACCACCTGTCAAAGTTGGACCAATTTCCAGAAGATTGGGTGCAGTGACTTGATTGATTGACACATGTTGCTATCGGAACTCTAGATCTTGACTTATGTGTTCAACTCTGGTTACCAGAGAGTTACATCATCAAACGCTCATCAAACGCTTTGCTGGTTTCTGCGTTGCTTGTGGCGCAGTGCTTCTCATGTCGCATTGGTCATTCATGTTCATGTTTCAATAGCATGGATTACACACACATTCTGACTTGGCATTTGGGCACTGAGTATGGATGGGGGATTCAGATTGCAGGGAACAAGACGTTGGAGTACCTTGGCAAAACGACACTTGAATCACTAGTGACTACTAGTGTATACTAGCTGTCTTGTCGTTAGTGTTTGTACAATGGCTCAAGTACATTGCATGATGACAACGGTGTGCTGATTAATTCTTGTAGATTAGATTTTCTTGGTGATGCCATGATGCCATGCCTGACACATAGTATGAGTCAGCCCAAGTTGACAGGTTGATGCAGCAGGTGGTCTTTCAGCACAAAGAAAATCAGCTGGCAGAGGTTAAAGCTCAGAACCCGGGAGCCAGCAAAGAGAAGATTGTGAAGATCCTGACGGTATTGACTTTCTGGCTAGTTAGTGGGCCCACTCTTTTCAAATCATTGGGTTGCAATTCAGCAGCAAAGTGCTGCGCCTGCCACGAAATCTGCGCCGGTGCCCAGCCGACGCCAGACGACGCCAGGGCGTACATCCGACCCCTTGGCAAGCAGCAAAGTGCTGCGCCTGCCACGAAATCTGCGCCGGTGCCCAGCCGACGCCAGACGACGCCAGGGCGTACATCCGACCCCTTGGCATCCGACCCCTTGGCAAGCAGCGGGCGTGTTGGAGATGTTGTGTGAGTGATGTTGTGTGTGGGATGTTGTGTGAGTGATGTTGTGTGTGAGATGTTGT